CCCCCCCCTTCAAGTCCCTGCTCTTCAGTTAAGTGACTCTTCCCAGGCCCCAGGTCTCAGCCCCTCCCCTGGCCAGCCTAGACTCCCCTCTGACGGGAGCCATCGAACCCCCAGGTTTACCCCCTCCAATGAAACAGCCTGTGCGCTCCTGTGCCTCCCCTCCCCTCCTCAGAGAACAGGCTGTCTTTTACCGCTGATTTGTCAGCGTTCAGCACCAAACCAGGCTAGGGGCACGAAGGGTGTGGCTGCTGGAAGCCGGAAGTTAACTGTCACAGAGCCGGGTACAGGGGCCTCTGACTACCCAGAGGCTCTGCGGCCGCAGGGCGCCAAACAGCAGTCTCTCCTTCACTGGGCGAACTCTGCCTGGGGTTCACTTCAAGGCCCCGGGGGAGGATGGCATAAACCGGGAACCTGCCTGACAGGTGAGAACCTCCTGGAGCCAGCGGTGTGCCCAGGAAGGTCCCTTCGGGCCCCTCCCAGTGTTCTGGTGTCCATCTGTTCAAGGAGCTGGTAGCAATTCCAGCATGTTCCTGAGCGCTTATTGCTCCTGGGAATCCAAGTTCCCTTCCCCGGAGCAGATTCCAGGTAAGCCAAGCCTCGCGTCTGTGCCACGTCTGTGCCGGTGGCACTCAGTCCAGGGACCACGTCTCATGTTCTTCCGCGAGGCTCTGGATCTCCATCCAGGGTTCAGAGGAGACCGTGGGAGACATTAAGCTGTGCTCAGAAACAGCACTCTCGCTGGTTAGGGGTGCTAGGATTCCTCGTCCTCTGCTCAACTTTCGCCTCTACGCTGTCACCCCAACAGTCCTGCCAGAGCGAATTACCTTGCTGGCTCACCATGCAGGCTGGGAATTTCCCCAACTCTCAAAATGGCTGAGCAGCCATGTTTCCCCAGCCTTTGACAAGCGTCTGGAACATTCCCAGGTGTGGACTCAATGGGCCACCTGTAACCCACTAGATTGGAGTATGTGGGGGGAAGGAAGGCACAAAATGCAAAGACAAAGGATTATTCCTTCCCTCCTCCAGTCTTTCCCATGAAAGAGCCTTGAGGGCAGATCCAGAAGGAAAAGAAGGAAAACTTCATCAGCTTTCCATCCCTCAGGCACTTGTATTGACCCCAATGGTTGCCACTGGGCTCCTTTTGTTCTGTGCCACAGGCAGCAGTGGGGCCAGCTTCTCTGGAAAGGCCAGAGTGGAGATGCTGGGACCAGCCAATACCCTAGAGGAACCCGGTCTCCATTGTGCATTGAAATTCCCATTTGCCTGGGGCTGAGCTTCTCCCTCAGAATCAAAGAGATCCATAAAGGCGGGGGACAAAGCACAAACAAGGCCTGGAAGCCAAGAGCTGCTTGTAAAAATGGAGATAAACGGGCATTTCAGAGCTGTGCAGGCAGTGGGCGGGGGGCATCACCCCTTTTCTGGCTGGCACTGCCTGGCCACTTGATCTCCAAACATTCCCTCCATTTTGGAGATGCCAGGTTGGTTTGAACCCAAGACCTGACTGCTTTGGAGTGGGATTAAGGAGGATTGCCAAGAAAAAAGCCACCCTCTGGGTGACCAATTTGGGACTTCCTGCATTTCGTGCTCCTGTAGTAAGCCCTCCAGACATGGACAATGCAATATTTTGACAGGTTTATTTTTCTTTTCTCTTAAGAAAAGTTCCCAGTCTTAGGGGTTGTTTTGTTTTGTTCTTGTTTTGTTAATAGTGCAGATCCTAGCAGTTCAGAGCTGCTTAGCGTCTTCAGCTAGATGTTAAAAAATAGTCTAGTTTTCTCCCACTGTTTTCCCTACCCTTTGGTCTATTTCACTCAGTGCTCCAGTAGAAAGATCCGTGGAGGATGAGTCAGGAAACCTGAGTTCTGTTTCCTGCTCCACCTTCTTGCCAGAAGTGTGACCTTGGGCAAGTCATTTATCTTCTCTAAGCCCAATTTTCTAACATTCTGTGAGTACACAGAACCACAGAGAGGGAGGAGACACGGCTTGGTTCATTCACTATGTCACCAAGTAACAACTGTTTTGATTCTCTCCTGGAGAGTTCATTTGTTCATCGAATCACTCATCCATCAAGTATTTCATATATGCAGGAATCATGACAGGCATGAAGACACAAAGTTGAGTAAGACATGGTCCCTGCCCATGAACAGGAAGCACGCCATGCTGGAAAAAGGACTGATTTTCTGAGGGACACAGCCAGGTCCCAGTACTAATTAGCTTTATGGACTTAGCCAAGGTTTTGTAACTTCTCTGAGCCTTGTGTTTCTCATCTGTATAACGGGCTTATTGTATGGGATACCTAACCATCCCCATTTGCCTCAGACTGAGGAGTTTCCCGGGACACAGGACTTTTAGAGCTAAAACTCAGAAAGTTCCAGGCCAAGCAGGATGAGTTGGTCACCTAAATGAGAAATTAATTGAAACGACACATAAAAAAGGTAGCACAGAGTCCTGCATCTAATGGCTGCCCTGTAAATGTGGTCCCATGCGTGCATGTGCACATGCAGACGCATACGTGCACCTACACTCACACCTCATAACATGAAAAAGGAAAAAGGAGACATGTAAACACACAAACATGGTACAGCTAAGGCAGCCCATGGGGGAGCCAGACTGCTGAGAGGAGCCAGGAGAGCCGGAGCCTGGGAGCGGGGCGTTCAAGGGGGAGGTGGATTTTATCAGGTGAGGGTAATGACTAGGAAGGGGCATCCTGTGCACGAAATATTTGTAAGTGCACGAAGGCTAACAGCTTAGCGCTGTTAAGGGATGTGCTCTGGCTGCTAATAGAGGGACTGCAAGCACAGAGGCCAGTACGAGGCTATTGTAATAATCCGAGAGAAAGGTACCCGTGGCCTGGATTTAGGTGGCAGCGTGGGTATACGGGGAAGGTGACAGATTGGAGAGATATTTAGGAGGTAAAGGTCAAGAGGAATTTGAGAATGATTCTATTGAATGAAGCAAATTTGTGAATGCATGCATCTTGAAAGATGTTCATAACAAGAGATGCACCCTGGGAACTGTATTAAATTTTATGACGTTTTTGATCCACACTCTAAATGTGATGCAGAGAAATAATCAAGGCCATGTTAGGACTTTTATGGACCTTGGATACTTTGCTTTCATGGATCCCTTCCTGCATTAAAAAAAAAAAATTATATATATATGGAAGCATATTGGTATAAGAATGAATATATTCCAGAGGTCCAGGAGTATTATATTAGTTTTTTCCTCCTGATTTTATTTTATTTATTTTTTTTT